CAGGGAGAATTGTCAGCCTCCTTCCTCAGTTTCTGAACTGCACCTGAGCGTAACTATGGATATTATCTTTGTTTCCCAGTGTTCTGATCAGTTGCACGGATGAAGGAAGAAACATTTGTTTCCTGAAGGATAAAACATTTAATAAAACGTGCCTACATTAAAGCACTTTTCCAACATGAAGAGGTGAAAAGCATGCCTGGTTATGGTGCAGATGAAGAGAAAGGCATGAGATGGGTGGGGGCAGGGGGGGTGCATGGAGCACATTCTGCACATGATCGCATTCTTGTTTCACCTCCTTAGGGATATACCAGCACATGTGTTACTTTGGCAGTGCCCACAATGACCAAGGATGGCAGGAGGTAGCCACCACCACCAGCATCCAGAAGGGCCATTTACCTGCAGCAGAGAGAAGCAGCTGAACCCAGGTGGGCAAGCAGGGATGCCAGTCTCCATTTGAACAGGTGACGAAACATGGCACCCTTTGCCAACCGTCCACAACCGGCACACCAGCTGCCATTCGACACCTGCTGCGGCATTTCACAACGCATCATGCACACATGCAGCCAGGGCAGGCATTACCTCGGCACCTGCACAAATAAACCAAATGCCAGGCGGTCGGCTCTGTTCAACAACTCAGCATCCAGCCTCAGGAGCTTCATTGGGGAGCGAAGCAACGGACTGCAGGACACAGCAGCTGCCTCCCCTTTTTTTTCTTTTTTCTTTTCTTTTTTACATCCAGCCTCAGGAGCTTCATTGGGGAGTGAAGCAACGGACCGCAGGACACAGCAGCTGCCTCCTCTTTTTTTGTCGGGATGGGGGGAAGGTGATGGAAATGCCCCCCTCGGTACTCTTCATTGAAAGCCCCACACCATCGACAGTGTGGCTTTCCGTTCCCCTGCCAGGCCTTCGCATTGTGTCGACACCATCCTCCTGAGAACAGGGATTAAGTAACTAGATTTGCCTGACACAAAGAGGAAACAGTGACACCCTCGCCTCAAATCCATCGGGCCGTCGCTGCCACTGCTGTTTGTTTTGGGCTCGTACCAGCTGCCTGCGGAACAGACCTTTCCAGGCAGGCACCGCTGCTGGTGCGGCGAGGAAACAAAGGTGTGTGTCGTGATGCACCGGCAGCTCCGCTTCCCATTCACACATACGCCCTGTGAAGACCTAGCATTACCCAGCCCTTTGGACTCCTCCACTATATTTCTTCTGGACCGCTTCTGTCAAGGGTGGGCAACGAAGACCACTGGACTAGAGGAATAACTTCCGCCCTAATCTTCCTCCTAGCCCATCCCTTGGGAGGGATGACGGGAGCCTCTCCTTTAAGGGGCTTTCAAACACCACACTCCGTTCTCCACACCCTGTTTAAGTAAGATCCACACAGGTAGAAAAGGAAGAAAGAAGCAGGTGAATAACACGCCCCGTTGTGAGACTGGACATGCTTTACCTTCCTGTGGCAGAACGGACCAAGAAACAAACAAAATGCCAGAAGTAACGGATGCACAAACACAGAAGCCAGCCCAGGCCTTGGCTGCGGCATCATTCACAAAAAGAGCACACCCTTTTTCTTCCTTTGCTTGCAGCCTGCGCTCCAGTCAGCAAAGCCTACGTGGCCTTAACACCTACAGATGGCTTCATTTTCTGAGAGGGCAAAAACCTAGCCTTCCAGCCTGCCGCTGCCCCCAGCCCCCTCCCCAGTGTGAAGAACAACAGGGCGGCGGGACCCAAAGGCCTGCTTCCAGCTTTTCAAACTCAGGGGCGGAAGGTTCTTCCGGAGGCTTTCACATCCAGTAGGGCAGGGGCACCTTCCACTCCGCCGCCGTTGACCTGAACACAAGGAAACTTCCACGGCATTCAGTGTGCTTCCATCCCTCTGATTAAAAGAGGGTTAGCTGGTCTTTTGTTTGTGTGTGTCTTTTTGTAAATTTCAGGGCTGGCAGGGAGAGTCCTCAAGTTAAGGTTTTCCAGCTTGGCTGCTCCACTCCCAAGTGGTGAGAAGCCACTTGTCTGAAGCGATTTGCTGTGTGCCAGGAAGGTGAGCAGAAAGGGACAGGGAAAACGTATTGATCTTCATTCATTTCGTGTCTGCGCCTGTACAGCTAAGCTTTATCATACCAGCAGCCGCCAACACCGCGAGGGTTCACCGCTCATTGTTCTACATTCACCAAGACAAAAACTTAGAGACAGGCATTGTGGACTGAGCCGCTGGGCTGGTGACGCTTCAGATCACAGCGCTGGGAAAGAGACGGTTGCGCACCGATCCCTTACTGGCTTGCACAGATGTAAAGACACCCACTTGCCCCCTTTCAAAATTCTTTTCTTGCTGAACGATCCTGACAAGATCAATCCTGACCTTGCAAATATTTCTGCACCGGTTTCGCTTCACTAGCATGAGTTTTCAGTTGCACTTCTACAAATCGGTAGCCGAGCCACTGTCTTTTGAGGCATTGGTTAAGGCTTCTAGCAGGACAGGTCTGGCAGCTGGTGCCTCTTCCTGCTGAGTGAGGCTCCTGAATGAAATGCTGCAAGCAAGTACAACCCAACGGGTCGGGGGGGGGCGGCTCGGGAGGATTCGCCCCCATGTGCAGAAGCAGGGAAAGCTCTGCCCGAAACATCCAGGAAACACCAAGATTTCACTCTCAAGCACACACACACAAGGGGGGGGAGAGGGGGGAGGGAAGGAGGGAGGGAGGATGCTTCCCACCCGAGAAAGGTTTGGCTTTTGACAACAGGCAATGGACTGATGTACACCAATGCTTGCTTATTGGTGTCTCTGCATCTGTTGAATTCCAGCACCACTGCTTTCTGGAGGCCTAGAGTGATGACCATCTCCCTCCTATGTGTCTTTCCTTAACAGCAACACACACACACACACACACACACACACAAAATTACCTCCAAGTCAAACCAAAAAACCCTTCTCTACCTGTTGGGTCATAGAAGAATATTAAATGGATTTGATGCCACTGAACACCGTCGTTTTCAACAGTGAAACCACTTAGCAGCGGTGGAAAGAAAGAAAACTGTTAAATACCCTTGGAAGTGGAGGCTGCAGCTGATGTGTCTAAAAATAAAATAATAACAGAATAATAAGCCCTGGGAATAATAAGCCTACCTCTCAAGGAAACATAATTATGAATTGAATTTGTTCACAACACGTTTTTATGAAATAATCAATGAACTATTTCATTTCAACAGACTTCCACCGCCTACCCGCCTCCCTTCTGCATGACTCGTATTTTATCCAAACAATTGATGGCACTGCCTTTTTCTTCTTCATCTCAAATTAGCACAACACATCTCTTACCCTTGGAAGTGGAGGCTGCAGCTGATGTGTCTAAAAATAAAATAATAACAGAATAATAAGCCCTGGGAATAATAAGCCTACCTCTCAAGGAAACATAATTATGAATTGAATTTGTTCACAACACGTTTTTATGAAATAATCAATGAACTATTTCATTTCAACAGACTTCCACCGCCTACCCGCCTCCCTTCTGCATGACTCGTATTTTATCCAAACAATTGATGGCACTGCCTTTTTCTTCTTCATCTCAAATTAGCACAACACATCTCTTATTTCAGCCTGTTTGTTTCAGCACCAGAATGGTGGCCCTCATCCCAGATGCCATGGAAGCCAAATGCAATATCCCCTTCTCCTCGCCGGGGTGGCAGCAACGTTCTCTGCGAACAGAAAACAGCAGTCTCTCCAAGAGCCAAGTGGCAGGATAGAGCGGCAGGCTCACTCCCCTGCCCGTGTGCAGAAAAGGCCTTGGTGGTGACCCCCTCGGAGACTCCCTGTGACTCCGTTCGGGCAAGATCCCAGGGTTGCTCCTCTCTCTGCCTGGGACCAAGCCAGTTTCCCTCTGAAATCTCAGGCACAAGATCCAGCACGAGGCAACAAGAGCATAGCAGACGCCTCTAGGAGCATCCTCAAGGCCTGCATAGACCCAGGCCGCCTTTCTGAACACAAGGATCTATGAAAATACTGCCCGCCTCTTGCCCGCCTACAGTTTTATCCAGCTTCAAGGCACGCCATGATTTCTATGTCTGTTTCCCCTCTATCCGTTTTAGACTCTGCAAAGGTTTGGCTTCTTTCAACAAGGCAGGACATCCATTGAAGCTTGCGTTGGACAAACGGCAGCAAATCGAAAGATCAAATGTGGCCTCCAAAGGCGTAATGCAAATAAAAGGGTTTTGCTGTTGTCATTGGCATGGTGTTTGCCTTGTTCCCCAAGATTTGTGATGTCACAGGCTGCCAAGAGGCGCTGGGGAAAACTCAGTCCTCCTGCACGTTCGCCCCTGCGCTAAGAAGGCAGAGGAATCAGAAGGTACAGGAGGAAAGGTGTTTCAAGGCAACAGCTGAATGCGTTTTGCATCGTAAGGAGACCATCACTCAAAAGGCCAATGACGCTTGGCTCCGTCGTCGCATTCACAAGCACCAGAAGCCACCTCTGTGACACCCACCATTCTTCCTGCAAGTCAGCTGAATTGTTCCAGATTTTCCCGGCTGCTGCTTTGCCACCCAGGTTCCTCTGACTACAATTACATTTTCATGAGGCACAATAAACTCCACTCACAAAAAGATTATGCTCATAATTATGTGACAATTGCACTCGAAACTTACAAATGTTCCAGTGAAAATCACCCTCGTCGTTTGCATAGGATAGAGGTTGAACCTGGTTACTTAGGACTCAGAAGCAATGTAGGAAAATACCAAAATCTATTCTCTCTCATGGGGGGCAGGGGGGTGGGAGTGCTGAGTCCACAACAACAACAACAACAACAAGAAGGATTTCCAACTGCTACACACAGGTGCTGCCAATTTTTCAGAGTGACGCCTCACATTCATTTGCTAGGCAGTTCCCTCTGACATCTTACAAGCGTCTCCGTTTCTAAAATAACCTTCAAAGATCCTCTGTTTATTATTAAGATCTGCTTCTGTCAACATGACAAAAAATTAAATTACATTAAAACAGGGACAAGGAAACTGCTGTTACCATGCTCAGAAGGGGAGCTGACAGACAAACACACACGCGCGCGCCACTCGGAACAGCTCGGCTGCCTTTGATCTAAACCCGAAATTGCTGCGGTGGCTACGGGATCCTCGCTTGTCTCCAAGCATTTTCAACTCCCTCCTCTTGTTTGGCATTTTCGAAAGGTGATGTTTACATAGATTCGAGGGAATGATTTTTAACCCATGCTTCAATTTACCAAAAAAAAAAAGAGAGAGGGGGGTGGTGATAAGGAGGATGCAGAGGCTTTTTCCCTCTAGCTCTGAGCAAAGCCTCACCAAGCTCAGTTTTTAAAAAAACATTTCCGAAATGGTCCTTCTTCTCATCATCCTGACTCTTAAGGGTGATGCCCCCTGTGCCCTGGTCAGAAATACGCAGGGCTGTAGCTAAAACTAAAGGGTCTTCCAGAAATAAACCCTTCAGAGTCTAGAATGTGCTACAAACTGCAGCTCTGTTGGTGCTCCCTGTACAACTCCTGTTTGGGTATCTTTTCACCTCCTCCCAGAAAACTGGCTTTTATTGAAGGAAGAACCAGATAAGTGGTTATTACAACAACAACAACAACAACAACAACAACAACAACAACAACAACAACAACAACAACAACAACAACAAAAAACAGGGACCAGAGTGCCCACTTTGGACATGGCAAAGGAAAAGGGTAAATAATAACAACAACACTAACATAAAATGTGTGTACATACAATGCAATACAACTTTCTTTAATAACAAAAAAAATTAAAAATTAAAACAGAAAGGAAAGGAAAGCCCTTCTCGTGGAGCCAGAAGGGCCCGGCCTCTTAGATTATGCTTTGGTTTCATTCGCCATGAAGGCTCAGTCTACAGACCACCCTGCGCCAAATTCATCAAAGCCACTGAGCTCCTCTGGAACAGGCATGGGAGGACACCAACCTTTCTCTCTCACGTGCCCCCCATTAACTTTTGCCATTGGCAAGCAGTAGGAATGAAGCTCCTCTGCCCATGTGCAGAGGCCCCTGAAGCACATGGACCCCGACCGTCCAAGGGGAGAGGCTGCCGCCCTCCTGCTCCCCCTCCTCCCCCCATCACATGAAGTTGTATTGTGTAGGTGCCCTAACCTTCTGACATCCTACAGTAGCCGTCCCCTAAGTCACTACCAGTTTCATGTGGTCACCCTCGCCCCCCAAGGCCCTTTCCCAGAAGCCCAAGTGGCATGCCAAGAACGCCACACAAACCAAGCCCAACGAATGAAACTTCACCACATTTCCAACTGCAGCCGAGTGTTGAATCCTGCACCAGGCTGAACACGCCCAACGCCAACCAGGTCTCTGCCGGGAAAGGGTCAGGCTGGCCGCCAGCCTCCTTCTGACGCCCCTGGACTGGGTCGAGAGAGGCTTGCCCTGCCCCCCCCACCCCCACCCCGGGGAGATTTGGCTTTGGCCTCACTGCCACCCCATAGGCTCATCCGCAGCCCACATGGGAGGCTCCGTGGGAGAGAGTTGGGGCCAAAGGTCTATCTTTTGGGCGTCAAGAGGCCCAGGTGTGTGTTACCTGTTTTCAGGAGAAAGGACCAGTCTGGGTGGAAAGCATCCCAGGGAAAGAAAGGCTGAGAAAGGGCTTCTCTAAACCTTCACACTATTGCTCTCCCGGAATGTGCCTCCTTTGCCCTCCTCTTCCCCCCCTCCCCCCCCCCCCGCAAGGTCTGCTGCAGCCGGTTCCGCTGTCCCAGCGCCCGGGAAAGCTGTGCCAAGTGGCGGCTTGGGGCTCCAGCGGCGCCAGGCAAGGGAGCTGCTTCCCGGCAGGCAGCTCTCCACGCTTTCAGCGGGGCTTGTGCAGGAAAGGTTCCGAGCAGGGAGAAGTCCAAAGGTCTCTGGCCAGCCTTGCACGAGACCGGGAGCACCCCGGGGCCCCTTGAGAAGCGCCGGTCGCCGGAGCGGCCGACCTCCGGGGCGGGAGGGGACCGGGGCCTCTCTCCTCTTGCGCCCTTTCCGGCTTGGATCAAGGACGCGGTTCCAGGGCTGAATCGGGAGGGAGGCGGCCGGCAGGCTCCTCGGGTCAGAGAAGCGGCCCAGCGCGCCCTCGCTTCCCTCCCCTAACCCCGAAGGGAAACGCGGGCGGTGGGGATCGCCGCTCCCGGGTTCCCGGCTCCGACTCGAGCGGCAAGGGCGTCCAAGCCAGACGGCTCCGGGGCTGGCTGGGCGACGGAGGAAGAGATCGCACCGTCTCGCCTTCTCTCCTCTCCGCGGCCAGAGGCGCTCCGACGCCCGCCGTACTTGGCAAACACGAAACTGCGCCGGCCACGGGGAGCGCTTCTCCGCGGCCGGGATCGCCGCCGGTGTGCCAAAGCCGGTAGCCGACCGGGAGCGGGACGGAGCAGGCGGGACGTGGGGCTCAACTTCCCCTCGTCCGCCTCGGCAACCGCCTGCTCCGGTGGCCAAGCAGGCGCCCCTCGCTCGCCCAGGCGCAGACCCGTCCCCGAAGCCCGCAAGCCCGGTCCCTCCCGAGGCAGCCTGGTCGGAAACCAAAGCGGGGGCCCTCCTCCCCGTGGGACACCCGCCTGGCGCTCCCCTACCGACCGACCTCCCCCCCCCATTCCGCGGCCCCTGCCGGCCCCCTTCTCTCCCCGGGCGGGCGGCG